TGTGTCCATGAGTAACAAGTTCTGTGTCCCTGAGTAACAATTCTGTGTCCCTGAGTAACAGTTCTGTGTCCCTGAGTAACAATTCTGTGTCCCTCAGTAACAATTCTGTGTCCTCAGTAACAATTTCTGTGTCTGTTCTGAGTAACAATTCTGTGTCCCTGAGTAACAGTTCTGTGTCCCTGAGTAACAATTCTGTGCCCCTGAGTAACAATTCTGTGTCCCTGAGTAACAATTCTGTGTCCCTGAGTAACAATTCTGTGTCCCTCAGTAACAATTTCTGTGTCCCTCAGTAACAATTCTGTGTCCCTCAGTAAAATTCTGTGTCCTGAGTAACAATTCTGTGTCCCTGAGTAAACAATTCTGTATCCCTCAGTAACAATTCTGTGTCTGTCCCTGAGTAACAATTCTGTGTCCTCTGAGTAACAATTCTGTGTCCCTGAGTAACAATTCTGTGTCCCTGAGTAAAAGTTCTGTGTCCCTGAGTAACAATTCTGTGTCCCCTGTGAGTAACAATTCTGTGTCCCTGCAGTAAACAATTCTGTGTCCCTCAGTAACATTTTTTTTGTGTCCCTCAGTAACAATTCTGTGTCTGTCCTGAGTAACAATTTCTGGTGTCCCTCAGTAACAATTCTGTGTCCCTCAGTAACAATTCTGTGTCCTCTCGAGTAACAATTCTGTGTCTGTCCCTGAGTAACAGTTCTGTGTCCCTGAGTAACAATTCTGTGTCCCTGAAGTAACATGTTCTGTGTCCCTGTGTCCTGAGTAACAATTCTGTGTCTCCTGAGTAACAATTCTGTGTCCCTCAGTAACAATTCTGTGTCTGTCCCTGAGTAACAATTCTGTGTCCCCTCAGTAACAATTCTGTGTCTGTCCCTGAGTAACAATTCTGTGTCCCTGAGTAACAGTTCTGTGTCCCTGAGTAACAATTCTGTGTCCCTGAGTAACAGTTCTGTGTCCCTGAGTAACAATTCTGTGTCCCTGGAGTAACAATTCTGTGTGTCCCTGAGTAACAATTCTGTGTCCCTCAGTAACAATTCTGTGTCCCTCAGTCCCCAGTAACAATTCTGTGTCCCTCAGTAACAATTCTGTGTCTGTCCCTGAGTAACAATTCTGTGTCCCTCAGTAACAATTCTGTGTCCTCACAGTATCTGTGTCCCTAAAGTATCTGTGGCCCTAACTCTGTCCCTAATACAGAGAGGTCTGTCTCTCTTGAATGACCGGAGGCAAATGGAGAATTGTAAGATGGCCGCAATTTATAGCTCCACCATTACACAGTGCTGGCTGGCTGGCTGCTGATTGGCTAATGCGACCACATGTCATGAATGAATGCATTATGGGTCAGCGCGCCTTGTCTGCGCGCCTTCCCAGAGATCCCCGCTCCGTCGCCACACATGTCGCCGCCATTTTTGGAAAAATTTCGATTCGCGCATCCGAAGTCTGCTAATTTTCGGATTCGAATTTTTTCTAATATTCGAAACGAATTCCACTTCGCCAAGTTCGATTCGCTCATCTCTAGCTATAATCAATGAAATTGTATAACAAAAATAAAAAATACTGATCACTTCCCCAAAGTAGTACAATGTTACTATGGTAACATTATACTACTTTGGTCATAGTGCAATATAAAAAAAAATCTTAAAAAAAGAGAAAATGTAATACAAATAAAAAAAATAAAATAAAAATAAAATTCAAATGTTTTTTTTTTTGTACTGTCACCAGTCAGTGTCCCTGATCACCACCACACCAGTTTATATGCTGATGCTGTACTGCACTGGTGACAGTATATAAAAAAAAATTGTGAAAAAAATTATTTTAATTTCTTCCTTTTCAGAAAAATTATGACAAAATTACAACTTCAAAAAACTCGCCATGCCTCTTATGAAGTACGTCGGACTGTCTACTTTGCAAAAAGGGGTCATTTGGAGTTATATCTGTACTGTTCTGACATTTTTGGACCTCAAGAAATTAGATTGGCTGACAGTACTTCAGGATTAGTCAATTTTCAGATATATCCCATAGTTTGGGAACTCTATAACTTTCCCACAGACTAAATATTAAATACTGATTTGGGTTATTTTCACCAAAGAAATGTAGCAGAATACACCTGGCCTAAATTTATGAAGAACAATTATTTATTTGCAAACTTTTATAACAGAAGCAAAGAAAAATGTTTTTATTTGTAATTTTTGGTCTTTTTTGGTTAATTTAGCAAAAAATAAAAACCCCAGTGGTGATCAAATACCACCAAAAGAAAGCTCTAGTTGTGTGAACAAATTGATAACATTTTAGTTTGGGTACAGTGTTGCATGACTGCACAATTGTCATTCAAAATGTGAGAGCGCTGAAACCTGAAAATTGGCCTAGGCAGGAAGGGGGTAAAAGTGCCTGGTAGGCAAGTGGTTAATTCCCTTACATAATTTAATGTCCATAATGACTGGCCATCTTCTCTCTTCTCTACATGTGCATATCTCTCCTGCATCTAGATCTATTACAGCAGATGTGTGCTTCCTATAACCTGTTAACAGCACTATTCTTTTCTTACTCCATTGGACAGTAGACAGTGGCAACATAACATATAACCGCCAACCCATACAGTTCAATTAAGGGGTGTAAAATAGGTACCTTTTGTCCTGAAAATGCCTTACCGATCAAGGAAGTCTGGTATCTCAAATGTAAGCAAGCGTCTTACCTTAACCTGCGGATTATCAGAAATTCCAAGATCGTCTCAGGCTCCTCATCTCAGGCTCCTCATTTCAGATTCTCAGCGTCACCTGTAAATCCCCTCCTGTCTGCCTCACCATTTTTCCTGGACGTTAATAATGAAATTTTAAAGATAGGCAACTCATATCCTCATATTGATTAGCAGTTCCAAATTAATAATAACTACTGCAGTAGGGAACAGACACAAAAAGATACACTCAGCATCTTTTCAAATGACTGTTCTGTTTATTTGGTGCTTTTGAAGTTTTTTATACACATGATTACATAGGTATCACATTAATATTACAATTGTACTTTTCTGGTAACAAGTGGCATTACATAGGCAGGCTACTTTCTAACCAGGACTTGAAGGAATGCAAACGTAATCAAAACATTTCTAGTGCCGTGTGTACATGAGTGCCGTGTACAATACATAGGCAATACATACAAAATATATCTGTATGGTCCTCCCGTGCTCTAGGTCCCCTATTACTTTATACTAAAAAGCTGCTAGCACCTTATCATATACCCGATGGAAAATTACAAATTGAAGACTAATTGGTGCAGCACCAAAGCATACAAAATAGTATACAAATTTATATAGAATTTATGAATTTCCTTTGATAACTAGTATGTACATGTGGATAATAACTTGCCCAGGAGGAGTGATCTGGGGAGCAGTTCTATTACCTTTCAGTGCAAATAGTAAGGTCCATCATTCAAAGTCACAGTTAAGACTGGCAGAAGAAATGACAATGTTTGGACATTTTCTTTCTGGATTGATTGATGAATAACGGACACTGATTTTTATGAGGATGGTACTATATATGATATACACAAATTGAATTGAAATGGATGACAACGCATGTCATATATGTTAATGCATGTTGTAATCATTGATGATGGTTTAGTATAATTTTATAGATTTTGAGTTTGGTGAGAACGAGAGTGCTTCACTATTTACATTTTTTGTTTTGATTTTTATTGGTGTGAAAAGATAGCACATATTAGTGTGAGCACCTCCTGACCATATAGGATTTACTCATTTTTCATTTGTAGTGTGTATCATGACGGTCATATATTCAATTTTTATTAACGTGGATTCATTCAGAAAACAAAGTACACTAAAGCTGGCCATACATAAATGATTGTCCAGTCTATGTACATTCTCCTTTAAGCTGGTCATTGTACCTAGAATTACCAAAACTAGGTAAGAGGGTACAAATGAACAATCCATTCAGTTTGCATCCAATCAGGCAGGGCCTCGCATTACATATCTTAAGGTAGATCTAAGGCTAGGTTCACACCTAACACAACAACACACAACTTTTCTCCTGCGCTAGGAAAAGACTCAGTAGACCCAATAGGAGTGTTCTGGAATTTTCTGGAATATGCACTGCTTGCTGCCCTCAAACAGGGGTGGTCCAAATACACTGGATGCAAATGGAGAAACAAAAAAAGGGCGCACTGACCTAGTACATTATTGTTTAAAATATTTATTGAAGAAATAAAGTAAGTATCATACTCACAATAGAGATAAAAACACAGGCATGTCAAACTGAACAAGATGTATGATCCAAACAACATCTGAGTCCATAAGATGGAGCCCTGCATGTTGCGTTTGAGCCATTTCTGCATTGCATTTTGCATTTTTGCAGTGTTTTGCAGGGGGCTATAATTTTTTTAAAAATGTTTCTTATTGCTAGGCAAATTTAAAACGCAAAACACATCAAAAACTCCCACAAAAATGCAGCAAAAATGCAATAAATGGTTTTCTGCAGCATTTTCACTGAAGTCTATAGAAACAAAAACGCAACTTTTTGTGTTCAAAAAAGTCCCTGAGCCTTTCCAAAAAATGCACCAGGTGAAAACGCACTATGTCCCATGGGAAATCATGGTAAACTGACTGTGTTTCCGCAAAAAGCAAAATGCTGCAGAAAATGCTTAGGTGGGAACCTAGGGTAAAGGAGATTGTAGAATCCGATTGTATAGTGTATGGTCACATTTAGACTTACAAAAACTGCAATTCATTTTAGTGTTTTGGAAATCTGACAGGCCTTTCACCAGGGGCGGACTGACCATTCGGAAACTTGGGCACTGCCCAAGGGCCCGGGGTCAGTAGGGGGCCCCATGAGATGCCCCTGGTACCTTTTTCCTAGGCTTTTTTGAGTTTGGGCAAGGACACAGGGGCCCCATGATCCCCTATTGCCTGGGGGCTCCATGAGTTGTCAGTCCGCCCCTGCCTTTCACTAAGGGTGGTACAGTAGATGCAAAGAAGATTGCACATTCATATTAAATAGTGTATTGAGAAGGTATTTCCATGCAATCTGCAGATTCACTCTTGACAGAACACTAATCATTTAAATGACATGCTTTGGAGAGGCAATGGTGATGAGTAGCCTGCACCCCTTGTCCAAGACTGATAAGAGGCATGGAGGAGCTCAGCTATGAGGAGAGATTAGAGGAACTGAATTTATTCTCTCTTGAGGAGAAGAGATTAAGGGGCATGTGATCAACATGTATAAATACATCAGTGGTTCATATAGTGAACTCGGTGTGGAGCTATTCACCCTGAGGTCATCACAGAGGACAAGGGGGCGCTCTTTACGTCTGGAGGAAAAGAAATTTAATCTCCAAACATGGAAAGGTTTCTTCACAGTAAGAGCTGTGAAAATGTGGAATATACTCCCTCAGGAGTTGTTTCTGGCCAGCTCAAAAAGGCCTGGATTCTTTCCTAGATACACATAATATAACTGGATACTAACATTTATAGGTAAAGTTGATTCAAGGAATATCCAATTGCCTCTCGAGGGATCAGGAAGAATTTTTTTTTCCCCTGCAGGAGCAAATTGGTTCATGCATTGCTGGGTTTTTTTTTGCCTTCTGGATCAACTGTGGATATAGGATAACTATTTTTTATGGTTTAACTAGATTTGTCTTTTTTCAGCCAGAGTAACTATGTATGAACACAGAAATTCAAAAAGGGAAAAGGGCCCTGTATATCAATCCATGGTTTTTAAGATGCTTATTGAAGTGCTGTAATTGGAAATAGTAAAGCCAGCATCCTGGATATGACTGCTGGTCAGGGGATATGGCCACTAAAGGTTTAGGGTCAGTCTTGGAAAGCATTTGGGTGATAGGGAAAGGGTTATGGGTCACCCACTGAAAAAAAAAGCAGTGCTAGTTAAACCAGGTGGGAATTCAGGATTAGGGTGAGCGGGCCTACATGGGAGGAGAGTCAAAGAGCAGTACATGGGGTATCCTAAGTTTTAAGAAGAGAGGACAAAAGTACAAGTATAGTGGAGGAATAGGGTAGAAGTTGTGGTTTTACCCACGGTATAGAAGTGAGGGGAATTTCTGTAAATGTGTTTTCATAAGGAATCCATGAAAAAGATATAGAAACCATGGCAGTATGTCCATTTTAAACAGGGACATCCTGCCGAACCAATAGTGTTAGAGTTTAGTCCACTCTTGATGGGCATTTCTAAGTAGAGAAAGATAATTCAAGGTATTATTTGAGTGTGGCCAAGATAGGTATACCCAGGTAAAAAAAAATAGAGTGGGATGTCCTAGGGAATGGAACATAGTTTGTAGGTGAGTACTTTCTCTATTTGGGAGGGTAACAGGCTACTGATTTGTGTGTGTTCATTTTAAAATTTTAAAATTGCTAAAGTGACCAAACAATTCCAGTTTGCAAAGCAGGGATGAAAAAAGCAATTTTGGGACTGCATACGGTATGTATATTTATATATTAATAGGACATCTGTATAAAACCCATGTTTTTGATCTTGGGAACGTATACTTAAGTCCTGGATGGAGCCAATAAACTGAAGAGCTTGCATGAGATGTTTCATCACTAGGATGTAGAAGTAAGGGGAGAGGGGACAGCCTTAGCGGGTACCATTGTGGATATGTGCTATGTCTGAGAGTATCCCATTGTCACTGATAAGTAGACAGCCATTATTTTAGTTAGGGGATAGTAATTCTGTTGCAGTACTGATTGCAGTATTGTCAGGTTAAAAGCCTTCTCTGTATCCAATGACAGCAGGCAGAGGGGGAATTGGCATTGATGAGCATAGTCCATTAGGGTGAACATTTCAATCACATTGACCGCAGCCTCCCTGATTGTGATGAAGTCCACTTGGTCCAAGTGTATGAGGTAGGGAATATTATTATTATTATACAGAATTTATATAGTGCCAACAGTTTGCTCAGCGCTTTACAATATAATGGGAGACAATACAGCAACAATACAGTTCAACACAAGAGGGTTAGGAGGGCCCTGCTGCATGGAGCTTACAATGTAAGAGTATATGGGACTTCAATTTGTTATTGAAGATTTTATTGTAGATCTTCAGATCTACATTGATAAGAAATATGGGACAGTTACTAGAACATTGTGTTGGGCCCTTCTGTGCATCAGAAATGAGTAAGATGTGTTCATCTCTGGGTTATCCTGGAAGAGGTCTGGTATGGCATTAAGTGTAGTGTGTAGATTTAGAAAAAGTTGCTCACAAATGTTTTCTAAAATGTACTAGAGAAGTGGTGAGGTCAAGGACTTTTCCCAGCTGGTAAAAAATGGTTGCAGATCTCTTTGTCCATAAAGGGGCTTTTAGGAAGTCAATATTTTTTTGCCCAAGGATGCCCATTGGAATGGTTTGTCATACCAGCCGAGCCGGAAGAAGCCCTTCTTGTTTTAGCGTAAGACAACAGTAAAACAGACTACGTAACTACTACTACGTAACTACTTTCCACTAGGACAAACATTACTGTGCACAAACATTAAACACTATCAACTAGTGGCAACACGTTGAAGTATTCTAAGGTATAATTTATAAGAATGGCTGTTGAACCCACGGTATATCTGTGAAAACAGCATGCCTACAAAGAATGTTAAATATCCTCTCTGATCAAATAATTAATGTAAATGATGTCACATAGCAGTGAGGATGCAGTGGAAAAGAAAATAAAGTAAGGTTTGTGGTTGTTTGCAGGCAGCCAGCATTTGTACTACATGAGTCAGGGCTGATTTCCTGTGTTAATGATCTTCAGCTTCAGGTTAGTACAGGAGAGGGACCTAAAGCAAAGTTAAATCAATGCTCCACTGCCATCCCTTACTGCCTGAGGCATTGTTCTGAAGGTGCCATATAATTTGTGAGTGTGTGTAACTACTGAAGACATGTGCAACCTAACAAAAAGAGCACAATAGTAATATCTCAAGATATGCAAATACTTTGTAGCACCCTCATAGTTAGGTTGCTAAGTAATAGTAAAATCTAGTTTTTCACTGAGTGGTAGTCTCTGAAGTCCTAGCTGCTGGTTCGTTTCCTGTTCATCAGGGTCCTGGCTGTGACAGAGCCTGGGATCCCATACCTGCAACTACAGAAAAAACTTTTGAGTCTTCACCTTTGAGGATCAAGTCTGTTATCACTTCACTAGAAGGCAACAAGAAGCTACTGTAAGTCTGGGTAGCTATTTTTTGGCCTAGTGAGTAAAAGACTGTTGCAGATCCTGGTGATGTTTGGTGCTGCAATGGTATAAGAGCCCATGTAGGTTTATGGGGTACAGATTGCACAAGGAACCCTAATCTGACCTAAATCTTTTTCTTCCAGTCTCATGGAATGTCTCGAGGTCAATGAGTACTATTTTCAGGACAGTGAAGGCAGTGTCCTCTTCTTCAAAACCTGTATTTACTGGACTATCTCATGCCCTACACCCCTCCTCAGGTACAGGTTTAACCAACATTAACACTTGAAAAGACATTCCCTAGACAGGGTCAGTGTGCATTGAGCTGCTAATGCGTGTATGCTGGCTGCCCCTGCACTCAGGAGGAGAACTCTGGCCATCATCATCTGTGTGATTGCAGTTTTATCACTTTTTATCATCATCAGTCAGCGGCCCTTCCCGGGGTCCAGCTACAAATGTATATTTCCTAAGATTTTCATAAAAAAATAAAACCTGAACATACAATGTGCGTTGAAACCCATTTGGGAGTGGACCTTTCCATTTTGTTAGCTTATGCTACCATCTAGAGGACAAGCTGTTAATGTAGATTTATAGGATAAATTCCATTTACAGCAAAAACCTTTTTTTTTTGTTTTGGGCAGAGTTTGGGAGGCTTAGATCTTCTGTCAGCATTTTAATATCTGTCTCCACATTGGTGTGATCTTCCCCTCACTTCCTAAACTGGTGATGGGGGGAGAGAAGGGGTGTTATGCAGTACAGGAAATTATTCTCCTCCAAATGGAACAAAATGCTTTCTTTTAGAGGGGTGAAGAGTTTAGAACCTCTGTATATAGTTTTTAAAATGGGGGAAAACAATATTAAAGCCCTATGGACCTATAGTTACTTGCATGCACTGCATGTCTCCATAAACACACATATATATATATATATATATATATATATATATATATATATATATATATATATATATATATATATATATATATATATATAGCCTTCTGACTATCTGAACTTCATAGTATCTGAACTTTTCTCTGCACACACCACATTATCACACCCAGCTTTGTGACACACAAATCGGTCAACTTGGGCTGCACAGGCTTGTGCCTAATTACACAATGGGGGGGGGGGGGATTTACTAAAACTGAAACATAGAAAGAATAGACAAGAAAAGGACTTTACGGTGCCAGACATAACCTCACAGAAGTGTGCACAAATGGAAGGAGCACCAGTCCAGAAGATAAGAGTCCAAATTGATTTAATGGTGTTATGTTAAAAGACAGCCAACACATTTCGAGGGTCAAAGGAACCCCCCTTCATCAAGGTTACAATAAAGCATAATATAATGTAAAAATAGTTGTGACTGATAAAATCATGAGCCTAACAATCGTAAAACATCATGGATAACATACATAGACGTGTGTGTGTGTACAGCGTATACGCTTATTTTTACAGTAAACAGTTCACTCCGCCTTTGCTTTTCCAATTCATGTCCAATTTCATCAACATACTTTTTCATTTTAATTTTACTCATCATCTGGTTCACATTATCAATCACTTGGCCTTTAACTTCAATCCATATTTACATTTTTCCATCCATGCAACCACCATTTCACACTGAGGACATGTGATCACACAGATCACACTACAGTCACTTTCACACATTTGCAATTGGTATAACGTGCAGTATTTTCAGTGTACCAGTTTATTACATTACATTTGAATTATGTATTTTTTCAGTTTTAGACATACACTTATATCCAGAATAAGCTATGAAATCTTAAGTAGAGATAAAGGAAAAGGTAGACTGGGGGTACCAGATATGAAGAGATACTATAATTCAGTAATATTGGCAACAATTTTTGATTGGACACATAATGCACAGGGGAAAAGTTGGGTAAACATAGAAAATACATTAAGTCACACGAATTTAAGTAGAATCATTTGGTTACCTCCTCAATTTAGAGGATTAAAAGATAGCACAAGTTTGTTTACACGTAATGTTTTGAGAGTTTGTGACACTTTACACAAACAAAGGGGGTGGGAATTTAATTCATTGGTAATGCCCCTAGGATCTACAGAGTTTTTTCCTCCAGGTAAAGAGAGTATTACAGGGAATTGGATAAAGAAGAAAGATGTTCAATTAAAAGATATATTGGTGGGAGAAGAGTTGTGTCCACTTAGTGAACTGGAAAGTAGGAGGGATATATTTGCGAGAATGGATGAATGGCGGTACAGTCACCTAAAACATTTTGTAGGTAGTCTCCCAATGCCATTAAGAAAATAAGAAGATTGGAACCCCTTTGAGCACTTATTAGATAAGAGATGGGAAGCACGGGATTACTAAAATATATAAAATTCTCACAGGTTTAATCACGGCCACAAGGCCACTATTTATAGAGAAGTGGGAAAGGGATTTAAAAGTAATAATTGATGAGGGAAAACAAAAGAAAATATATAGTTTAATTCACAGGAATGTAAATATGAAGGAAATGGAAATTAATTATAAGTGTTTAGTAAGATGGTATATTACACCAAATGTAGCGCATAGAATAAGTGGAGACAACTCACCTTTATGTTGGCGGGATGTGGAGAGAGAGGTACAATGATACACTTGTGGTGGGAGTGTCACAAAATTCAAGAATACTGGGAGGGCATAGTGAATATAATTCAGGAAATAACAGAGGTAAATATTCCTAAGGACCCTGAGACTTGCCTTCTTTTTGGTACCGGGTTTTCAGTTAAAAAATATTAAAAAAACTGGATTATTGTATTATTTAAATGCAGCGAAGGGACTGATACCCAAGTTTTGGAAGAAACAACAGGCACCGAAAATAAAGGATTGGGTAGAAAGAGTGGTGAAGATATATAGAATGGAGGAACTTTACCATATGGAGGAAGATAAAATGGAGGTGATTCGTACAAGTTGGGAAATGTGGGTACAGTTTAAAAATTCAGCGGTATACCTGCAATATGTGAAATAAGGAAAAGAAGGGAAAGGGGATAAATATAGTACAGTATAATACCAGTAATAGCTAAGGTTCAGGAGTTCTAGAATGAAGTTAAAAATGCATAATTAAAGGGTGGGGGTGGGGGGGGGGTAGGTAAGGGGAGGGGTAAAAGGTCACTGAGATTAAGATTATTTGTGGGGAGTGTTATGACAGAAATTTGTAATGTATACGGTATGTTTTATTAGCTTTTGTACATTTAATATGGTAATTTGAAAACAATAAAATATTTAAATTAAAAAAAAAAAGACATACAATTATACATATATAGATTCTTTTTCTCTGATGATTGCTATATTAGGGTATTGTTGTGGTCTTTTTTTTCCTTTTAATTATTTATTAATATTATTATTATTAGATTTAAATTTTTGTTTTTGTGTTTTTTTTCCATGTGTATTGTTTCAGTTATAAATTTAATGGGGCAATGGCATCTATTTACCATGTAGAATCTGATATCATTCATTTTGAAAATGAATCCATTGCATCTTATTACTTAATCTGCATTTCATTGCATGTATACTTACTTGTGAATATGCAAGCATTTTTGGATGCAGGCATGTGCACGCACACGTCTATGTATGTTATCCATGATGTTTTACGATTGTTAGGCTCATGATTTTATCAGTCGCAACTATTTTTACATTATATTACTGATGTAAGTAGAGAGCCACAATGATGTAGGGGGGTACACTAATGTATGTGAGGGACACACAATGATGTGAGGGGGGGCACACTGATGTGGGGGGACACACTGATGGAAGGGGGCGCACTGATGTAAGGGGAAGCTCACTCATGTAAGGGGGCAAACTGATGTGGGGGGAGCACACTGATGCAAGTAGGGGGGACACACTGATGTAAAGGGGGGTACATTGGTGTAAGGTGGCACACTGATGTAGGGGGAGCACACTGATGCAAGTAGGGGGGGCACACTGATGTAAAGGGGGCACATTGGTGTAAGGTGGCACACTGATGTAGGGGGAAGCTCACTGATGTAAGGAGGGGGGGGCACACTGATGTAAGGAGGGAGGCACACTGATATAAGGAAGGGGGCACAATGACGTGGCGGGGCACACTGGTGTGGGGGGCACACTGATATAAGGAGAGGGGCACACAGGGGCGGACTGACCATTTGGAAATTCGGGCACTGCCCGAGGGCACAGGGTCAGTAGGGGGCCCCATGAGATGCCCCTGGTACCTTTTTCATAGGCTTTTTTGAGTTTGGGCAGGGACACAGGGGCCTCATGAACCTCTATTGCCCGGGGGCCCCATGAGTTGTCAGTCTGCCCCTGGGGGCACACTGATGTGGAGGGAGCAGGGGCGGACTGACAACTCATGGGGCCCCAGGCAATAGGGGATCATGGGGCCCCTGTGTCCTTGCCCAAACTCAAAAAAGCCTATGAAAAAGGTACCAGGGGCATCTCACGGGGCCCCCTACTGACCCCGGGCCCTCGGGCAGTGCCCGAGTTTCCAAATGGTCAGTCCGCCCCTAGGGGGGATGGAGCACACTGATGTAAATAGAGGGGCACACTGATCTGGGGGGCACATTGATGTAAGGAGGGGGGCACACTGATATAAGGAGGAGGCACACTGATGTAAGAAGGGCACAGAGATGCAAGGGAAGGAATACTGATGAGGGATGCTCTCTTATGTAAGGGAAGCACACTGATGTAAGGGGAGCACAGAGATGTAAGGGAAGGCACACAGATGTAAGGGAAGGCACACAGATGTAAGGGGAGGCACACTGATGTAATGGGAGGCACACTGATGTAAGGAGGGGGGAGAACACTGATGTTGAGGGCACACTGATGTAAGGGAGGACAGATTGATGTAAGGGGGGGGCACACTGATGTAAGGGGGGGGGGGCACACCGATGTAAAGGGAGGCACACTGATGTAAGGAGAAGAGCACACTGATGTAAGGGGAGGCACACTGTTGTAAGGGGGGGGCACACTGATGCAGGGGAGACACACTGATGTAAGGAGGGGAGCACACTGATGTAGGGAAGGCACACTGATGTAAGGAGTGGAGCATGTTGATGTAAGGAGGGGAGCATGCTGACGTAAGGAGGGGAGCATGCTGACGTAAGCAGGGGAGTATGCTGATGTAAGAAGGGGGAACACTGATGTTGGGAGCGCACTAATGGAAGGGGAAGCACACTGATGTAAAGAGGAACACTGATGTAAGGAGGGGAGCATGCTGATGTAAGGAGGGGAGCATGCTGATGTAAGGTGGGGAGCATGCTGATGAAAGCAGGGGAGCATGCTGATGTAAGGAGGGGAGCACATAGATGTAAGGAGGGGGAACACTGATGTTGGGAGCGCACTAATGGAAGGGGAAGCACACTGATGTAAAGAGGAACACTGATGTAAGGAGGGGAGCATGCTGATGTAAGGAGGGGAACATGCTGATGTAAGGAGTGGAGCATGCTAATGAAAGCAGGGGAGCATGCTGATGTAAGGAGGGGAGCACATAGATGTAAGGAGGGGGAACACTGATGTTGGGGGCACAATGATGTAAGGGGAGGCACACTGATGTAAGGGAGGACACATTGATGTATGGGGGGTACACTGATGTAAGGGGGGCACACCGATGTAAGGAGGGAGGCACACTGATGTAAGGGGAGGCACGGTGATGTAAGGGGGGGGCACACTGATGTAGGGGAGGCATGGTGATGTAAGGGGGGGCACACTGATGTAAGGAGGGGAGCACACTGATGTAAGGGGAGGCATTGTGATGTAAGGGGGGCACACTGATGTAGGGGAGGCACACTAATGTAAGGAGGGGAGCACACTGATGTAAGGAGGGGAGCACACTGATGTAAAGGGAGGCACACTGATTTAAGGGGGGGCACACTGATGTAAGGGGGGCACTTCATTACTGACAAAGTCTACTGACTGATACCATTCACAGTCCTACTGATACTAGTATCAAAACTACCAGGATCACAAAAGTCGCACTTGTGACCGAGCCCTTATGTTTCTGCCCCAAGGGGTCCCCCAAGATGGTAGAAAGGGAGCCTGCTGCAGAAAATGTGGAAGAGCCTGAGAAAGCAGTAAAGTGCCCGGGTCAGTGGGACGAGCCCAAGGGTTAGAGGAAAAGGCCCTGGTCAGGGGTCGTGGGGCCTGTTATGGTTTCTTGCATTGGTGCCCTGAAGGTTCAAGTTATGCCTCTGCATAGGGGTGATGAGTGGTGACACAGGGCTGATGAGAAGTGACGTAGTGGTGAGTCGTGACATAGGGCTGATGAGAGGTGACATAGGGGTGATTAGAGGTGACACAGGGCGATGAGAGGTGACAGGAGTGATGAGAGGTGCCATAGTGTTGATAAGCAGTGACATAGGGGTGATGAGAGTTAACATAGGGGTGATGAGAGGTGACACAGGGACGGTCAAAAGTGACGTAGGGGTGATGAGCGGTGACATGGGGTAATTAGAGATGATGAGAGGGGGCATGGGGCCATGAGAGGTGACATAGAGGTGACATAGGGGTGATTAGAGGTGATGTAGGGACAATGAAAAGTGAAATAGGGGGTGATGAGAGGTGACATAGGTGTGATAAGAGGTGACACGGGGCGATAAGAGGTTACATAGTGGTGATGAGTAGTGACCTAGGGGTGATGGGACGTGACATAGGGGTGGATAAGCAGTGATATAGGGGCGATGAAAGGTGACATAGGGGTGATGACAAGTGACATAGGGGCAATGAGAGGTGACACAGGGGTGATGAGAAGTGACATAAGGGAGATGAGAGGTGACATAGGGGCGATGAGTGGTGACATAGGGGCAAAAAGAGCTGACATAAGGGTGAAGAGCAGTGACATAGGGACGATGAAAAGTGACATAGGGATTATTAGAGGTGATGAGAGATGACACAGGGCGATGAGAGGTGACAAAGGGGTAATGAGCAGTGACATAAGGGTGATGAGTGGTGACATAGGAGTGATGACAGGTGACATAGGGGTGATGAGCTGTGACATAAGGGTGATGAGTGGTGACATAGGGGAGGTGACATAGGGGAGATGAGAGGTAACATAGGGGTGATGAGCTGTGACATAAGGGTGTTGAGAGGTGACATATGGGTGATGAGCAGAGACATAAGGGTGATGAGTGGTGACATAGGGTCGGTGACATAGGGGCGATGAGAGGTGGTGGTGACATAAGGGTGATGAGCGGTGATATAGGGGCGATGAGAGGTGAGATAGGGGTGATGAGCTGTGACGTAAGGGTGTTAAGAGGTGACATAGGGGCGATGAGCAGTGACATAAGGGTGATGAGTGGTGACATAGGGGCAGTGACATGGGGCGATGAGTGGTGACATGGGGCAATGAGTGGTGACATAGGGGCAATGAGCGGTGACATAGGGGCGAGGAGCTGTGACATAGGTGCAATGAGCAGTGACATAGGGGTGATGAGAGGTGATATAGGGGAGATCAGAGGTGATATAGGGGTGATGAGCGGTGACATAGGGGTGATGCGAGGTGACAGAGGAACAATGACAGGTGAAATATGGGTGAAGAGAGCTGACATAGGGGCAATAAGCAGTGACATAGGGGTTATCAGAGTTGAGGTGATGAGCGGTGACAAAGGAGTGATGAGAGGTGACATGGGCCGATAAGCGGTGACAGAAGGGTGATGAGGGGATACATAGGGGCGATCAGAGGTGACATAATGGTGATGAGCGGTGACATAGGTGCGATGAGAAGTGGCATAGGAGTGATGAACGATGACATGGGGCGATGAGCGTTGACATGGGGCAATGAGTGGTGACATAGGTGCAATGCTAAGTGGCATAGGGGTGGTGAGAGGTGACAGAGGTGATGGGGGATGATATAGGGGTGATGAGAGCTGACATAGAGGTGATGAGAGGTGACAAAGGGGTGATCAGAGGTGACATAGAGGCGATGAGAGCTGACATAGGGGGAATGAGCAGTGACATAGAGGCGATGAAAGGCGACATAAGGGCAATGAAAGGTGAAATACAGGAGATTGATGATATAGGGGCAATGAGAGATAACATAGAGGCAATAAGAGGTGGCATAGGGGTGATCAGAGGTGACATAGGGGTGATGAGAGGTGACATTGGTTGAGAAGAAATGGTATAGAGGTGATGAGAGGTGAAGAGAGGTGACATAGGGGCAATAATCGGTGACATAGTGGTGAGGAGAGGTGACATAGAGGCGATGAAACGTGACATGGGGCGATGAGAGGTGACAGGGGTGATGAGCGGTGACTTAGAGGTGATAAGAGGTGACATAGGAATGATGAGAGGTGACATAGGGATGATGAGAGGTGACATAGGGATGATGAGAGGTGACATAGGGGCAATGAGCAGTGACATGAGGTGATGAGAGATGACAGGTGATGAGAAGTGACATCCCTCAACTCCTCTCTGTCCTCGGAGACTCTCATTCCCCCTGTGTTTATTGTGGAGATTGCGCTTTGTCAGTGGGAGCAGAGATGGCATGGCACGGATCTGATGGTACCAGCAGCAGGAATGGAAGATGCTTGCACTTGACATAGGGGCAATGAGGGGATACACAGGGGCGATAAGCGGTGACATAATGGTGATCAGAGTTGACATAGAGGTGATGACCGGTAACATAGGGGCGATGAGAGGTAACAGGGGTGATGAGTGGTAACATAGGCGCATTGAAAAGTGGCAAAGGGGTGATAAGATGTGACATAGGGGTGATGAGAGGTGACATAAGTGCGATGAGAAGTGGCATATGGGTGATGAGAGATCACAAATGGGTGATGAGAGGTAACATTGAGCTGATGAGCGGTAACATAGGGGCGATGAGAAGTGACTTAGGGGTGATCAAAGGTGACATAGGGGTGATGAGAGGTGACAGAGAGGTGATGAGCGGTTACATAGGGGCAATGAAAAGTGACTTAGGGGCAATCAGAGGTAACATAGAGGTGATGAGAGGTGACATAAGGGCAATGAGAGGTGAAATAGGGGTGATGGGGGTGACATAGGGGCATTATACACTCCTCTGCACTCTATACATTATATACGCCTGACTCCTATACCATGCACATTATATACTCCTGATCCCTGCACGCTGTACATGATATACTCCTGACCTCTGCAAGTCAATTATAATAACATTCATGTGACCAAAGCTATTTAATGAATTTGTTCCTTAAGGTAAACTTAGGTGGGGTGTCAGTTCTCTGTATTCTATTAGGCCACCAGGAATTTGATAGCTTGCTTGTTTTTATGTTATTATTCCTTGGACTGTAAATTAGCGTACAACTAATTTTTATTGAAGATAAATCCATAGCAGGAAATGATTCTGGTGCTTTGATGGACATCAGAGATCTGTCAGTGTTATCCTCTGACTCCTCAGAGGTGGTGCAGTTTCAGACCCCTAAACCTTCTGATGATCCAGAGGAAGGCAAACCCCCCCCTTTTGTAAAGGGGAAAAATATTCCTTCCTGACCCCCTAAGGCGATC